TATAGTCACCTAAATTTGTTTTTAAATTTATTAATCTTTAAATTATTTATGTTTTCTTAATTTGAACATTAAATTATATATATATAAAAACTGCCTGACTGGTACATCCTAATAAAACTACAGCTTATATTAAATCATATAATTTTAATTAATTTATTTATTTTTATTTTTTAATGTCTTTATTTATTTTAGAGAGAGAGGAAGGGAGAGGGAGAGAGAAATAGAAACATTGATGAGAGAGAAACATAGATTGGCTGCCTCTTGCACCTCCCAATTGGGGATCAAACCCCAAACCTGAAACCGGATCATGTGCCCTGACTGGGAATCGAACCAGTGACCTCTTGGTGCACGGGATCATGCTCAATCCACTGAGCAACACCAGCCGGGCAAGTCATATAATTTTAATGATACATTCATTATCTCAGTCATGTTTGATTAGGGGTCATTCTTAGCTTAGGCTCAAAACTTTGTAATTACAGAAGGAAAATTTTTTTAATGTAAAATAAGATCCCAATGTCTGGGAGCACCAAATATTTCTGAGCAAACAAATATATTTGATAAGAATGAAACATGGGTTTGCTTCTACGCTGAACATTCGGGAACAGCATTTAAACATATCATGAAGGTTGTGTTTAATAAGGATGGAAGTTGAGCAAAGCATTGAAGCAAATCTTCTGGCTTGACCAGCATGTTTATCATTTAGTAGTTTAATAGAATATGTTGTTACATATAATTTAACATTAATAGGTAAAGTTTTGGCAATATATATTTACATTCTTATCTCTGGTTCTTACTGGCTTGGTTTCTAATTTTAGGGTGGAGATGGCCATTGTTCGGAGAAGAATTTGAAGAGGAGCAGATTTTTGGGGGGTAGCGTCTTTTAAATCTTAAAATACAAATTGGCAAGCCTTCCCTTTTTATTTTATATACAGTAGAAATGTAACGAGCTGTAAGTAGGCCATTCATCTGCATTAGCATCATTCCACTTCATTTTGTTAGCAAACCATTCACTGTTTTCATCTTTCTTCTAAGAATTCTGTTGATGTGATGCTCTGATTTGGAATTAAAGTCATCTGTCTTCCTGCCTCTTTACTTGCCATGATTACTGAGTAGGTAACACATCCTGTCGTAGGACACACTGTACTTAGACTGATCTCTGCCCTCTGCTAGTCACATAACTTTAAATGTCAATTATTCCCTAGGATGCTCAGGCTTTCTGAATTGAGTTCTTCATGAAATGTCTGACCCATTGTTCTAAAAGCTGTCCATTAACATTAAATGATTAAACATATGTTCTGTTAGTCAGCTGTGAAAGTATTTATAATATTTTTAAAATATCGAAATTATATGATATTCAAGTGTTAAATTCTTTTATCCTTATAAACAACTACCTGCACTCTTTCAGTTTTCTAGTTCCATCAGATAGTGCTTTTTATGTGCTATAAGCCTTTTTTATCTAATAAAACCCAATTATATACAACCCAAAAGAAGAATAGTGCCAAAATTCTCAATTGTCCTAGTCTTAAAAACCAAACAAAAAACCAATAAAATGGGATTATCTGGTGTTTTACCAGAACACTACCTGATTTTTTATTTATTAAAAGTAGACATGAAAAACGAAGGAAAGCATAATTTGTATTATAATATTATAATCTCTTATTTATTAATTACATTTTTATTTATTTTAGAGAGAGAAACATTAATTTGTTGTTCTACTTTATTTTTAATTATTTTTTATTTTTTTGTTAATCCTCAACTGAGATTATTTTTTTAAAATATATTTTATTGATTTTTTACAGAGAGGAAGGGAGAGGGATAGAGAGTTAGAAACATTGATGAGAGAGAAGCATCGATCAGCTGCCTCCTGCACACCCCCTACTGGGGTTGTGCCTGCAATCAAGGTACATGCCCTTGACCAGAATCAAACCTGGGACTCTTCCGTCCCCAGGCCGACGCTCTATCCAGTGAGTCAAACCGGCTAGGGCAACTGAGATTATTTTTCCATTGATTTTTAGAGAGTGGGAGGGAAGTGGAGAGACAGAGAAACATCAAGTATTTGGGCTCAGTTCTTAGACCTATTCTGTGTTCTGTCTACACTCCCTTGGTGAGCTTATCCAGATACATGGTCTTAAATACCTTTTATAATTTTTTATTTTTATTTATTTTTAGAGAGAGAGGAAAGGAGAGGAAGGTAGAAACATTAATGAGAGAGAAACATCATCGATTGGCTGCTTCCTGCATACCCCTTACTGGGGATTGAGCCCAAAACCCAGGCATGTGCCTTGACCAGGAATCAAACCAGTGACCTCTTGGTTCATGGGTCAATGCTCAACCACTGAGCCACACAAGCTGGGCTTAAATACCATTTATAAACTGACTAGAGGCCCCGTGCACAAAATTCGTGCATGGGTGGGGTCCCTAGGCCTGGCCGGCGATTAGGGCTGGCCAGGGCCTTCCTGCTGGCTGTGGGCTGCCAGCTGCCGACCAGAGCCTGCTGGACGGGGGGAGGGACTGCGGGAGGTTGGCTGGCAATGGGAGGTTGGCTGTGGGAGCGCACTGACCACCAGGGGTTAATTCCTGCATTGAGCGTCTTCCCCCTGGTGGTCAGTGTACATCATAGCGACTGGTCGTTCTGGTCGTTCCGGCATTCTGGTTGCTTAGGCTTTTATATATATAGATGACTTTCAATTCTCTGACTCTAGACTTGACTCCTACACTCCAGACTCAGATTTCCAATTGCCCATTTGCCAGCTCCACTAAAATACATAAATATCTCAGACTTAACATGTCCAAGATTAAGGTCCTGATCTCTTACTTCCGCTTGTGTTTTTCCTATCTTAGTTAAGGGAACGCCATTCTTCCAATTGCTCGGGAGAAAAACCTTGTAATTCATGACTTCCCTCTTTCTCTGATGCTCCATATCCTTTCAACTCTACCCTAAAAGTATTTCCAGGATTTGACTACTTTTTACCCTCCTGCTATTCACAACATTTCTTGTTTATATTTTGTAGTAGTATCTTAACTGATCTCCTTGATTATACCCTTGTTTAACCTTCAGTCTCTTACCAACTCATTGCCTGGGTGATTTGTTTGAATATATTCTTATTGATTTTTAGAGTGAGAAGAAGAGAGAGAAACATTGATGTGAGAAGGAAACATTAACTGCCTCCCCCACACACCCCCACTGGGGATTGAACCCACAACCCAACATTGTGCCCTGACCAGGAATCAAACTGTCCACACTGGCCAGGGCCGGGTGTCCTTAATACAGTTTAAATCAGACTGTCACTGCTGTGCTCAAAACCCCCAATGCTTCTCATTTCACTCAGAGTAGAAGCCACAGACATTACAGTAACCTACGGGGCCCTACACAGTATGCCTCTGGCCCCTCTTTAACCTGATTTGCTGCTCTCTTCCTATTGCTCATTCTGTTCCAGGCCCACTGACCTCTTTGCTGTTCCTAGCTATGTTCCTGCCTTAGAACCTTAATTTTTGCTATTTCCTCTGCTTAGAAATTTTTCTCAGGTGACTGCGTGATTGCTTCTCTCCTTCACCTTCTTCCCATTGTTCATGACAACCTCTTTACTGGTTTTTACTCATATATGAAGACTTCTCTACCACGTTTCCTTAAAGTTACAGCTTTCCCCATTCATAATCCCCTTTTAATTTTTCTTTTTTTTTGTTGTTTTTTTATAATTATTAAATCTTTATTGTTCAGATTATTACAGTTGTTCCTCTTTTTCCCCCCATAGCTCCCCTCCACCCAGTTCCCACCCCTCCCTCTGCTCTTACCCCCTCCCCACTGTCCTCATCCATAGGTGTACGATTTTTGTCCAGTCTCTTCCCGCACCCCCTACAACCTCCCCCCCCCGAGAATAATCAGTCCACTCCCTTTCTATGTCCCTGATTCTATTATATTCACCAGTTTATTCACTTGATTTTTAGATTCACTTGTTGATAGATGTGTATTTGTTGTTCATAATTTGTATCTTTACCGTTTTCTTCTTCCTCTTCTTAAAGGATACCTTTCAGCATTTCATATAATACTGGTTTGGTGGTGATGAACTCCTTTAGCTTTTTCTTATCTGTGAAGCTCTTTATCTGACCTTCAATTCTGAATGATAGCTTTGCTGGATAAAGTAATCTTGGTTGCAGGTTCTTGGTATTCATCACTTTGAATATTTCTTGCCACTCCCTTCTGGCCTGCATAGTTTCTGTTGAGAAATCAGCTGACAGTCGTATGGGTACTCCCTTGTAGGTAACTGAGTGTTTTTCTCTTGCTGCTTTTAAGATTCTCTCTTTGTCTTTTGCTCTTGGCATTTTAATTATGATGTGTCTTGGTGTGGTCCTCTTTGGATTCCTTTTGTTTGGGGTTCTCTGCGCTTCCTGGACTTGTAAGTCTATTTCTTTCACCAGGTAGGGGAAGTTTTCTGTCATTATTTCTTCAAATAGGTTTTCAATATCTTGCTCTCTCTCTTCTTCTGGCACCCCCATAATTCGGATGTCGGTACACTTGAAGTTGTCCCAGAGGCTCCTTATACTATCTTCATATTTTTGGATTCTTTTTTCTTTTTGTTTTTCTGGTTGGGTGTTTTTTGCTTCTTTGTATTTCAAATCTTTGACTTGATTCTTGCGATCCTCTAGTCTGCTGTTGGAACTCTGTATAATATTCTTTATTTCAGTTAGTGTATGCTTAATTTTTAGTTGGTCCTTTTTCATATCCTCAAAGGTCTCACTAGAATTCTTGAGGGTCTCACTAAGTTTATCAGCAGTTTCTAGAAAATTCTTGAAAAACCTTATAAGTGTGGTTTTGAACTCTATATATCCAGTAGTTTGCTTTCCTCCATTTCTGTCATTTATGACCTGTTTCTTTGTCTCCACATTTTTTATGCTTCCCTTTGTTTTTTTGTTTTGTTTTTTTTTAATATATTTTATTGATTTTTTACAGAGAGGAAGGAAGAGAGATAGAGAGTTAGAAACATCGATGAGAGAGAAACATCGATCAGCTGCCTCCTGCACATCTCCTACTGGGGATGTGCCCGCAACCCAGGTACATGCCCTTGACCGGAAGCGAACCTGGGACTTTTCAGTCTGCAGGCTGATGCTCTATCCACTGAGCCAAACCGGTTTCGGCTTCCCTTTGTTGATAGAGTAGCTTTCCGTGCTAGGTGTCCTATAGGGCCCAGTGGCTCAGCCTCCCCAATTACCTGGGGTGGACACACTTGGTGCACCCCTTTGTGAGTTTTGTGCACAGTCTTGTTGTAGTTAAGCCTTGATTGTTGTAGTATCACTGGGAGGAATTGACCTCCAGACCAATTGGCTGTGAGAATCAGCTGTGTCTACAGTGGGAGAACTTCTGTGCTGGAGACACCCTTAGGGGCGAGACTTGCTTCAGTGGGGCTTTGGTGCTCACTGAGTCTGCCCCCTGAGTGTGTCCCTTATGGATCTGAGGAGTTGTAATCTGGATGGTCCCACTCTGACCACTGGGTACACTGGCTCTTGGATCTCTAAGGAGGTGCTAATTTAGCCTCTGCCTGAGGCTACCCAGCAGGAGCTATGGAGAGATCTGCAGGTTCCTCTTCCTTGTTTGGGTTTTGGAGGTGCCCAGATGAGGCCCAGCTGTGAAGCAATGCAAGCTGCTGTGGGGCCTTGGGCCTTCTTTTGGAAGTTCTGGGTCTCTCTGACCCAGCTGCAGTTTCTTAGGTAATTTTCAGATTGCAAAGGGCCCAGCCTTTCATATGCAAAAGCCTGGGTGGGGTGGGGTCTCAGGGAATCAACAGGGTGGAGCAAACAGCTACGGCTGATCCTCAGTCCTACCCTAAGGGGCCCCATGTCTCAGTGTCCCGGTAATCACTGCAAGCACCTCTGAGAGAAAGCCGCCCTCAAGTTGCAACCGATGCCAGACAGTCCAGTTTCTCCCTGTATGAGTCTGGGT